CAGGAAAAGTGAAGAATGAGCCTTCCCTGTATTCCCATTATCAAACGATAGATTGGCTAAAATGGAATTTATACCAAAAAGTGGAACGGAGAAAAATGTGTTCGAAGTGCTCCAAACCCTACCTTTTCTTTAGCTTCGGTGGACAGAAAATAATCTATAAAAAATGAACTATGCAGTGTAAACTAGTGAAAATTTATAGGAATACTCTTTGGATGTAGATTGATGAAAATATGTAATTTTTCAAAATCAATGTTTTTTGCAGAATTGTTTTTTTCTCTGGGTAGTGTCCCCCCTTAAGGGAGCTGTGCAACAATTTCGGGGCTTTGCTTAAATAATTGTGGAAGTTGATGCCTGACACTTCTGCAGTGAACTACAGAAAACAGATTTGGCCTGGATACCCTAGTTTTTATTTAAAAAAAAAAATGAAAAAGATCCAAATCTTTGCCGCCTCTCAACTCGTACGTCGTCTTCCGGGTCACGTGCGCAGTGACGTCACTTGAGTAGGTGCGGGGTTCCGGAAAAGTTCCCTCTTTAGAGCCATCAGCGAGGAGCGAGAACTCATCCGCTCGCGACCACGTGACCACGTGCTGGCGGGCGCCCTGCGAAACTTAGGGTGAAAGGAGGAAAGTCTCATCCGGGTTCGGCCATACCCGTCCTTGCCCGTCCGGCGCTGTCCCCCTCCCCCTCCGGCTTCTGGCGGCTATTCGCGGTTTTGTGGACCAAGGATAGATGGCGCCACTAAAACTCCGAATAATAAAAGTTTTGTCGACGATACCAGGGTTTTGATGCATTTATATATATGTTGGAACAACAAGATTTATAGAAAATTTACCTTTTATCGAGCAGGCATTCGTGCAACTTGGTATCTTTCTACAAGATTCCCCACTGACGTCACGCCGCTTGTTTCTCATGGCCGCCGCTCGTGGCTGCAGGTCGGGAAATATTCTAAGTTTTGCCTCGCTATTACGCAGCGGAATCGCAACATTTCGATGAAAGGAGGTGTGTTTTCTGTAATTTGTGACACAGTGAACATTATGAAAAGCAGAAGATGCCAATTCTTTCATGCTGTATTTTAAAAGTTATAGGCAAATTAAAATTACAAAAACAAGCAAAAATAACCTCCTTCATGAAGTCCTTGGTCGGTTGAGTTGCCGTGAACTAGAGGGGAAGTAGTGAGCTCAGCGAGCGCTCACGGCTGCCGCACTCCGTGTTGACGGCTCGAGAGGGCGCCACTAAACCATGTTCTGTTTAGGGTGTATGAAGTAGACAGCCAAGGTGGCTCGCATTGCACTTGCTGCACGATTAAACACTAATTCGGCATGACACTTCATTGGCCACAAACTACAAAAAACACGGGGTAAAGATCAGTTCAGAACGGGAGCCACTTTGCGCTGCCATACCGCCAAACGGCCAAAACGCAAGCCAAACCTTCTCGCCGGAGGCATTCCGAACGCTCGGAACCGGTCGGATCCTCCAGTCCTTATACGACCGCAGCGCCGCCGCATACATCCGGGACCTTTCTATGCTCGCTGCTCGTTGGTGCCTGATCCCACTACACCTTTCTACTATGCGCCGCCCTTTCCACCGGGTATGTCGACGGGTCATTTCTTGTTTTCATACTTTCTAAACTGCATTTCTTTCTTTTCTGATCTAAAATACTGAACAGATACTACTTTTATAGATAATTGAAACGGTTCGCGCTACTTATATATTGTATTTTTACTGAAAAGAAGCTTTTCGTGGCTTTGACGAGTAGTAAGCCCAGGACCAAAGACCACATTTTGCACGCTTTTGGCACCGCGGGTCTCCTTTGTAGCTGGAAGAGGTTTCCGCGTCGTCCGGCTAAAATATGACGCACTGATATTTAGTTATTCTCTCCGTGCCCGCCGGCTTGCCCGAACGCCAAAAGACGTGGAAACCGCAAAAAGGGTAGACGGTTAAATATGATTGCAGGGCCCCTCCGAGCGAGCAACAAAAAGCGAAATAAGCTGATGCAGCAACAACAAGAAGGACTCACTAACCCAGATTCAGCGTCTCGTGGGCCTTGAGCGTGCGCACGTACCGATAGCATGGCGGCAGGCGTAGAGCACGTGCCGGAGGCCGGACATTCACAGGACATTCCCTGTCGTTATCATTCAGTCAGTGATGACAGGGTCTTCTCTTTTATCGGGCAAGACAACTTTTGAGCAATAAAACTTAGTAGCAGCCGTTACCTTCAAAATCCTTTGATGCATGAAATGCATTACAGGGTAGTGGTGCGTTACGTGACGTATATATTTTCCTGCCAAATTTAGCGGGGAAGCTGAACTGTTGTACAGGTCAGGTGACGTCAATTTCCCCGGCTGAATTTAGCGGGGAAACTGGGTTCGTGTCTAGGTCACAAGACCCGAATCTTCCCATTAAATCTAACAGGTAAGTGAATTGGTGTATGCATCACGTGACGTCAGTTTTTTGCCAAATTTAGCGGGAAGACCGAGTTGATGTCTTGGCCGCAAGACAGGAATTTTCCCGCTGAATTGAGCGGGGAAACTGAGTTGTTGTATAGGTCTTGTGCTGTTAGTTTCCTCAAGGTGTATGATTGCGTGACTTCACCTTCCCCGCTACATTTTGCCGAAATTGCACTGAATGGACAAAATTTTTGGATTGGGGGGGTAGCGCTAAAAAGCATTTCATGCTTTAAAACAACTCTTTTGTGTCGCTCAATTTTTGTGTATTTAGTGGTGTTCCATGTAGGGTTGGTAGGTCAGTATACCGGGTTTTACAGCAAGGCTTTAAGAAATTTCTTAACATAATGTTTGTTTGAGAAAATTAACTTCGGAAAAAAGTGCCCGCCACGGCAGATGTCAAGAATTGTGGAAAAAAAACGGACATACTTTGAGCTAAATAAAACTAAAATTTACTGATACAAGTCAGGGGTGGCATTTTACGGCGTTCCAAAGAAACAAAATTTATAGTCAGCTTTCCGAGGGAGGGGGCTGGTCGGGATGGTGATGACCGATGATGGTGTTTGCCCGATGGAAATCCCCCAAGAAGTCAAATAAGAAAAAAAAAAAAAAAGATTAAAAGTTCTTCGATCTTGCTGGACACATTACGACGTTGGTTGGTTTACAATGGCCAGTGTGGCCATGTTTATTTCAATACAGAATGACAAGTCAGCAATAATATACAAAACTTCCAAAATTAGAATCTATACTTTAGTCCCCAGTCTCAAGAGCCGAATCCCCTGATCTCAAAAGCCGAATTCCTCGAGAATCCTCTTGGCACCCCTTTTCTAGACTCGTAAAGGCCTCCTTTTCCTCCAGAGACTGACCAATCACTTCAAATTTGCCCATTGTCACGTGGTACACTCTTACCAATGAACAGCGAGCTGTCAACGTGACCCCCCTCTGATACCTCAACAGTCAAACCCAAATTCCTTGTAGAGTCACTACATGCTTTCGTCGTCGCTTGGCTGGCGCCACCCATTTAAGTTATTGTGTTGATTAAAAGCGAAGTTTCTACACTAAGCGGCGAAATACACAGGGCACAAGCACACCCGCTTAAAAGCCACAAGTGCGGAAAGAAGCCCAAGACACGGGTGTTCCGGCGCACCAAACTGAAACCCAATCGATTTGTTAACGAGCAGGGTCCGACTCTTCTCCACCGAGCCCCGCGGTTGCTCGAAGCCCCCCGCGCGTGGGGGCGGAAGACGACTCCTCGTTCATGCTCTCACTTCCTGCCGCGGGTCTGCGAGCAGACGGCCAAAAATGCAGACACAAACATAGGCAGACAAAAAAAAACTGCCGACGCAACTGTAGAAAGATAGACTTTAATAAAACAAATCTTACTTATTTCGAACAAAATCCTTCGTTACTTAGAAGGTATCTTACCGGAGTGCATCTTAGCACTCACGGTCCTGCTCCCTTGTGGCCTAGATGCGCAAGGTGCATGTGCCATACTTCCTACGAGGGAGGCAAGGCGATAGCTTCGTGCCTTGGCCACTGGAGAGCAGGACTGCAAGCCGAAGGATGTGCTCCGATTAAAAATACAATAAAAAACCAAACCCTAGAAATGTGTCCAAATTGAGCATTTTTTTTGGAACGCCATAAAATGCTGCCCCTGCACTGTATCTTTCTAAGATGAGTTGATTTAGTGATTTTTTATGATACTTAGCATGCTTTTCATTGAAACCATATTTTTATTTTCACCTATAAGAAAGGTAATTAAGGAGTTTGAGTTAATTATTTAGATGATTAGCATACTTCTTGCAATTTTTGATGCCTGGCAGTTTGTTCTTGGAAAGAATAGTTTTTTCTTTGCACTTTATTTTTTATATTTGAAAACCTTTTTGAAACACCTGGTATACCATAGAAGGAGTGCCTTAGTGTGGTCCATTTTAAAGCTAAGGATGACACATGCTCTTCTGTATCACAGTCCTTACTGTCCTTACTGTTCTTCATCTGACTTTATTGTTATGCGTTGAACTGTTGGTGTTTGTAGAGAACTGATACTCATACAATCAAATGTGCTTTTGACTTGGGCGATGCAATGAGTGATGCCATTTTTAAAACCCATGTTGCCTGAGGAACACAAAATCTTCAGTCACAAAATTGACAAACCTTTCTTAAATTCTTTAATTTTTTTTTTTTGTGGTTAATTTGAGAATTGATTTAAGAGCAAAACTAGTGTGCAAGTGTATGTTGTCATCACCGACGAGGCCTATAGAAACAATTATTTTTTAATGTGAGCCAGTAGAAACACTTCAACCATTTTAACCTTGCCATGAACCAAAATGCTTACTTAGTGTTGCCCTGGTATTCAAGATAGTACCTTTCGCCAAAGAAACCATATATAGTATTTATTGGGGAAAAAAAAACACCAGCTTGCATGGACCAGTTCACACTAAATAAATAATTAAAGTAAGGTATATTGGTGTTAGCATGAAGCAAATTCAAAAGGAATCGGGAAATGAATCGCTAAACCTAAGCCGTTTGTCATAAACACATGGTTTATTCTTTTAGGTAAACAGGCTGCACTGTTGGAGGATACTAGCCACCTGTTAAAGGGAACTGAAGACATCCTCTTCAGATGCTGGTTTTGCACCCACATCACCACAGATCTACGTGGAATCTTAAGTCATGTGGTTGCCCATGGAGATGAACAGTTCAAGGGCCAGTGTTGTTTTTCGCTGCTTGGATCTCTGTCCATATTGTGCAGCCCTTTTGTGATCCACAAACCTAATACATCATTTGACCATCTCAGCCATCTGAACTTGTCCCCCAGTAAGCAGCTCTGTTTGACTCCTGTTTGTGTACGTACAGAACCGAGACCCTACAAGTGCCAGCAGTGCACCAAAGCCTTTAAGAAAGGCAGCAATCGGAATAAGCGCATTCAGACATACTCAGACGAAATGCCTTTCAAATGTGAGCAATGTCCCAAGAGCTCTTCTCACTCTTGCAATCTGTCCATTCACATGCTAGAACACAGTAGTCAAGAACCCTGCAGGTGCGAGTTGTTGCTCAAAACCTTCACTGAGCTTGTACATATTTTAATTTACTTGACTGAAACACCCTACAAGTGCAAGCTGCATCCCCAAAACTTTAGAATGCATGAATTCTTTACTATTCATGTTAGAATGCACAGAGGTGATAAACCGTACCAGTGCAAGCATTGTCTCAAAGCATTTTCATTCAATAACAATTTTACTATTCATGCTCAAATGCAAAAATATGAGAGACCTCACAAGTGTGAGCTATGCCTTGAAAGCTTTTTTAATCCTGAGGTACTAACCAGGCATGTTTGCAAACACACAGGTCAAAAACCTTGCCAGTGCAAGCATTTTTCTAAAGCCTTTGCTGCCAGTTATAGTCTGAAGGACCAGATTCAAACACAGGTGAAAAACCTTACAGGTGTGAGCATTGTTCTAAAGCCTTTGCTAGAGCTGCTCCGAAAAGCCACATTCAAACACACCAATGAAAAACCTTATGGGTGCAAGTATTGTCCCAAATCCTTCCCAAGAATTTCTAGTCTGAAGAACCACATCCATACACACCAAGGGAAAATCCAAAGATGAGTATTGACTCTAACCTTTGCTTGGAAAAGCACTTTGATTGTGCACAATCAAATGTGCATGGATATAATGCCGTACAGGTGCGAGCAGTGCCCCAAATGTTCACCTGGCTTGAACTCTTTACCAATTGCAATCAAATTCACAAGGACAATCATTACTTTGTGATTCCGGCGAAAAAAGAATTGCTGTCCCTCTTCTTCCCCTCCCCCCCCCCCCCTCCCTCCGGCGAAAGGGTTTTTGACGACCCCTGTTGCCAGTTGCTCCTTCCCTTGGAGGGGGGGGGAAAGAGAGAGGAAGAAAGAGGGAGATATTCTTCTTCTTCTTCTTCCTCTTCTTCTTAAAGGTCCCCCCGGGAGAGGGCCAAGGACCAGGGGGGAGGGGATGTTGAGGGATGGGGACGAACCCACCCCTTCCCCCCCCCTCCCTTTGGGAGGCGGAGAAAGGGGCCCAGGTGGGAAATACGGAGGAGGAGATTGGAGACATCCCAGTCAGCCGGGCAGGGAGGATGGTGGGGGGCCGTCCGCCTGATTTACTCAAATTACTCCCTCCTCCCCCCCTTCCCCCCTGGGCCCGGGACATGTCCTGGCCCCTTCCCATCCTGGGATTGGCCACAGGTGCAAGCTATGCCCCAAAGCCTTTGCTTGGAACAATACTCTTGGTGACTACTATATACAAAAGAAAAAAAATTTTAGAAGCATGAGCATCAGCCAAAGTCTTTCTTCAGAAAAGCTGTCTTACAAGCCACATTCAAAGGCACGTTTAAAATTGCTAGCAGTATGAAATCTTTTGGTTGGTGTGGTTTTCTAGCCCACCACTCTTTAGCACGTGTGTGTATGAAATTAACCATACAAGTATGAGCAATTGGTCAAGACTTCAAACCAAGTGAATGCTTTGAGACACTGTTTGCACCTCTATGACATTTCACTCGTGTGCATTTGATTGTGTATGATCAAACTGACCTTCTTTGTGACAACACTTCCACTTTGAGTGTTTTTACCTTGGTGTTAATGGATGTGGTTCTTCAGGCTTGCATTTTTTTAAAAGGATTTGGGACAATACTTGGCATTTGTAAGGTTTTTCACCTTTGTGTGTTCGAGTGTGGCACGTCAGAGTATGACTTGCAGCAAAGGTTTTGGGACATTGCTTGCACTTAGACGGTTTTTCACCTTTGTGCGTTCCAATGTGTCAAGTCAGCCTTTGCGGTGTTGAAAATGTTTCGAGGCATAGCTAACATTTGTAAGGCATTTCACCCCTGTCCATTAGAGTGTGAAGTGTAAGACTAATTCATTGAAAACATTTTGGGCCAATGCTTGCACTTGAAAGGCTTTACAGCCAGGCGCATTTGAGTGCGCTCAGTCAGGTGGCCCTTCCGAGCAAATTCTTTGAGGCAGTGCTTGCACTTACATGGTTTTTCACCTGCATGTGTTTGAGTGTGTTTCAAATTGCCATTTGCAGCAAAAACTTTGGCACAGTGCTTACACTGGTAAGGTTTTAAAATTGAGGGTGTTAATATGAGGACGGACTGGGAGATCAACATTTTTCAGATGTGCGGTGCTAAGTGCTTTTTTTTTTGCTTTTTTACTTGTGTATAACTAGCTTTTCTCATGTATATGCTCTGTATTCCCTCTCCTGCATTGGCTGCCAATTGGCAGCCAGCAGTATGTATAAATAGTAAATAAATAAGCCGCAGTGAGATGGGTTGAGGTATGTGCTGTTTTGGGGTGGGGCATATACATGTTTGTAAACATTTTCATCTCAGTTGTTTGTTATCCACTCTTATGTCTCTTGCAAAAAAACATGAAAGCCTTACAGACAATAAAGGCGTGACTGGACTTCTGTTTTGCTGTTTTGGCTAGTAGTTGAACTTGTGTGGTACTTTTTCTCAGCTGCTGCACACCTTGGTCAGCTGAAGGAAGTCTGTTATGATTGGTAGACGTCTAGTTAGCCTTCAGAATTTTTTTGTTTTCTCCTTTGGAGTGCCTTGGTTGGTGCAAATGGCTCGAAAATTATGCTCAGTACTATTGCAGGTCAATCTTCTTTGGTCTTGACTGTAGGCAAAACTTTCATTTTAAAAATCTGTGTCGAGAAAGCGGGGAAAATGTGGGTCAATATTTGAATAAGTATGGTAGTCAAGGTTGTTCCCTTGGAGATGTTCATTGAAAGGGCACCGAACTTTGACCTATTTCTGGTTCCAACACTGCTAAAGTGCAGTGCTACTTTTTAATGTGCAACCATAGGTTTTCATAGTATTTGTTGATGGTAGTTTTTGCATCTTGTGATATGGGAATCTTGAGTTTTCAAAGTTCAGAGAACTTCGTAAGACACATTTTTATTGATAGATGTCTTAGTGGATATACTGTTTTTTGCAGGGATTTTATAGGAATTACATTTTCAGGCTAAATAAGCTATTGAATGTAAAAGGGAAGGACAGAGGGGCTTTATCTCAACTAAAGTATTGCAGTATGCTTCATTTTAGATTTTTTTTAAATACTATTTATAATTGTAAACAACTATTTTGACTTGAGCCTTGTTTCTAAAAAGAATGCTGTGCGTTACATTTAGCAATGGAATGACTTTTTCCTTTTCAAGTGATGAGCAAACAGATGTTGGCATCTGCTCTAAAGGTGTCAGTGGCTGCTCCAGACCAATGTTTTGCCTGCTACAGAACCTGCTACAAAATGTCGAATGCCGCTTCCATCAGTGCTAACATCAACGAGGACCACTTGATCAGTGCACGAGGTTTAAGCCGCATCTAGTCAGTGCAGCTGAAGGCGGTTTTATCGCATGAATTGCAAGTTCAAGATGCGACATTTTATTTCATTACATCCAGATAAACATGTTACAATTGTAAGTGAAAAAGATATAAGCGACGAAAATCCCCAAGACATGGTCGCAACCCAAAAATAGCTTTCCACGGAAGGAGTTGATGGAAGCAAGGAATTCTAGTGTTTTCATGTACTGTATCCAGTGGGTCAGAAGGAATGAAACCACTGGTTGTAAGTCGGGTATTGTGCAAAATTATGACTTAATTTCTTAACCAAATTGCTATCTTGATTAGGTTTTTTAAGCATTCATAAATACACAGTTTTCTTTTAGGTGATCAAGCTGCACTGTTGGGCAGGACACGCTACCTGCTGAAAGCCACTGAAGATATCCTATTTAAATGCTGCTTTTGCTCTCATGTCGACACGGATCCGCGTGGAATCGTTAGCGAAGAACATAGCCCCAACCGTTCGAGCAAGATGCCAAAGTTTCAGCACCAACCGTTATCTTATACAAAAGTTATAAGCGATTTTCTGAAATTTTCAATGGGGAAAAAGGGGCCCATTTTTGCCCGTTTTCGGTTTCTGGCGCCGTAGTCAAATGAGCACACATTTCACGCGATTTCCGCTCAAATAGAGGACATACAACCAAAATATTACATTTCTAGGTTCTCTTTTCTGGTAGTTTACTGTTATATCTAAACAAATTTAAAAAAAAAAAAAAAAACATTTACAAAAATAAGGTTTTTGAGAAAAGCGACCTCAAACTTTCAACATTTGTTATTTCTCCCAACGTTTACGTGAAGGTAGCGGAGCGGCTACTTAGCGGATAATAATGATATTATTATATCTATACTGAGCATGCTTAGGGCTTTCTATAGAGCTAAACAAAGAAAATGTACCTTTAGTACAGACCAGGTACAGACAAGTAATGACCTGTCAAAAAAGTTGACCAAAAATTTACCTGAGTGACGAGGTTGACATTTTTTTTAGATATCAATAACATCTCTATAAATATTTGAATACATCAAGGTATCTTTGTAGCACCTATTAAATGAGGGAGAAAAAGTTAAAAGGGTGTAGAAAAAACACTCGCGCCAGTACAGGGTGTCAAACACGCGACCTGCGACGGCGGGCAAAAACACTAGTTTTTGCCACTGCGGCTTCTACGCTTCGTAACTCGAGAACAAAAAAATCAGTTGAACTAGACTTCCTGTATAGGCTCCCTACGAGAGCCAGAGTTGCGCGTTTGTTTTCCCCGCGCCGCCACGCCGCTATTCGCCGAGATCCATCACGTGAGGAGCAAAGCATCCGGTGGCGTGCAAGAAAGCCACCTTTCCGGTCGCTTTGCCGTTGTTTCTCGCGCCCCGGCGTATGTTCCCCTGCTTTCCGCCTCCTTTTCCTCCTCTCCTGTTTTCACGCACGGCGGCGCGCGCGGCACCGTTATTCGCCAAATTTAGTCACGTGAGGAGCAAAGCATCCAGGTTGTGCGGGAAAGCCGGCGCTACGGCCACTCGCCGAAGCTGAATGCGCAACTCTGCTACCGTAGCAGAGTTGCGCATTCAGCTTCAACTTAGGAACTCTAAGTTGAACATGCGGTTTGCGCCCTCTTTCATCCGAAAAATGCCCCCAAAACATATTTTTTTCGTCAAAATTAAAAATTAGACCCTTTTAGCCTGCCCGATTTGAGATGAAACCACCCATATATATGGGTGGTTTCATCTCAAATCAGGCAGGCAAAAACCAGTGTTTTCTAGTTGGCACCAAAATTTCGTGGTTGGCTGTAGGGCTATTCTTGGGCTATTACTAAGGGTGCGGCGAACTCTTGTCGAACCTCAGGTTCGACTAGTTAATTATTAAAACTTCTAATCAATTTCGAAAAAAAAAAATTGTTTCTTTTTTGGCTAGTCGAGAGGAGCTAGAGAGAGGAAGGAGAATGACTTCAAATTTCTACAAACTTTGGGGTTTTCACAATGCGCAGAGAAGCAGTCCTAGCAGAGTTCAAGCGGTCTCCCCACAGCGCAGTGGAACAAATCAAACAAACAGATTGCACTATTACCACAGGCCCAGTAGCGCGTCTTCTACCCGGACGTAGACTGAACTCTCCAAGCACAGCTTTGGTGCCCATTTTGAAAATTCTTAGGCATCGCCCACTTTAAGAAAAGAAACAGAATCAAAAACAGCGTGAACCGGAACGGGGAATGCTCATATTCTACACAAAGAAAAATAGAGGCGTGGGTTAATTATTGGTAAGAACCTTAGATATAGGGGGTTCTGGTTTGAAACTCCCAGTTCTGACTGTTCTGCTTCTGCATTCTGTTCTTTTACTGTATGATCATATCTCCCGGGCTTCACAATACAGCTATGTATGTTTTCTACTTCTGAAAACCTACAAAGGATGGGTCATTGTTTCACCTCGCCCCTGCTCATCCTCGACAGCGCTGTGAAAGCT